TCACCCTCCCCCACCCCCCCCATCCCCCCACCCTGTGTGTGTGTGTGTTCAGTCGGAGCGCCTGAAAATGAATTTCCGCCGGGATCTGGACGGGAGGGTGTCGCTCCGGAGCCGGGAGGGCCGCTGGTACAGTGTACGACCTGACATGCAGGTGCGCGGGGGTAAAGGGGAGGGGAGGGGAGGGGTTACTGCGTGCCGCGGGGTGTTTGCTGCCGTATTAATGTCTCCTATGCGGCCCACCTCCCTCGACTCCCCCCGTACCCCCCCGGCCCCCCCGTAGGCAGTTGGTTCTTTGTTCCACCACTCCTCCGCATCACCGCTCCTTTCGACTTGTCCCCCTTTTCCCGCGCCATCGCCCCTCTATGTGTCTGCACACACACAGATACGTACATACATACATACACACACTCACACTCTCTCACCCCCCGTTCCGCGCATCCGCATCTTCGCCGTATCCAACCAACCAGTCCTATAGCCACCTACCCACCCAACTGCCTACCCAACTGCCTATCCAACGCGCCTCCTCATCTGGGAAACCTTCCTTGCAACCGCATTACCCCCCCCCCGGGTCCGTACCGGAGCCGCTCGTTAAGAAGGCGTGTCGTACACCCCCGGACACCCTTTTAGGTTTTAGGTTTTAGGTCGTGGTGGTCACCATCCTTTCCTTCACAGCTCAGATACCCCACACCCCCCAGTACCCCCCACCGCACCGCACACTCTTTCGGCAGTCAGCCGTCGGTGCCTTCCGCCGTCTAGTTGCTGTCCTAAGTGGTGAAGGTGGTGAAGGTGTTCCCAAAGTGTCAAGCTTGTTGACCCACCTGTTGCACCTCCAGGTTCTTCCACCACCGCCCACCCCCCGGTGTCACATCTCATCACAGCACAACCCCTGTGCTCGTTATGGGCCCCCCAGAACCCCCAACCCAGCCATGTTCTCCTCCCGTGCCGCCCTCTCGTACCGCCCTCCCCCTCCCCCCCCCCAGGTACCCGGCTTCCTGCTGCTCCGAGACCCGTCCGGGGGGGCGGTGTTCTTCCTGCCCCCGGACGAGGAGGGGGACGGACTCGCGCAGCTGGACCTGTCGGACGACGTCGTGGTGGCGGAGCTGTTTTCGAACACGGCATGGCAGGTGCGGTGCGTCTCCGGGCTTGTGCCCTGTGGTGTCGTACCCCGGCACGGTGTCGTACCCTCGTGTGGCGGTGTCATGCCGCAGATGGTTAACTTGATGGTGTGCTACTGAGGTTGAGGGGGAGGTCGGTTGAGGGCTAGCAGGCGGGTGGTGGTGGTGGGGAGGTCGGGGTGTTGCGGCGGTTGAGTGGTGTCCCGAGGGACTTCACAAGTCCGGGTCCTGTCCTGGAACTGCCGGGGGGGGCTGACGGGGGGGGGGCTGTAACAGGCGAGAGGGGGGTTCGCATCTGGACCGCCCACTTTTTCCCATCAGCCTTCCAGTCCCCTCTCCCCCCATCCACATATCTATCTATCCCTCTTTTCGTTCCCTCCAGAACCCCCCCGCCCCCACCTGACCACTTCCCCCTCCACCTCCCCCCCCACCTCCACCTCGTGATGGGAACGCCCTCCCTTACCGCCACACAGGACGTCATGGAGCCCCTGGCTGTACGACAACCCGATGGCTCCGTACAGCAGTTGCAGCTGTCAGAGCGGGAGTTCAGGTCGGTTGTGTCGTTGGTCGAGGGAGCGGAGGAGCCGGAGCTGGAGGAGGAGGAGGAGGGCGGGGCGGAGGCGACGCAAGGGCGGTCGGGACTGGCTGCGAATTAACTTGACTGGTTGTTATTGCTGGGGGTGGGGTGGGGTGGGGGGGTAGGGGGTTAAGACGAATCACTGACGAACCACTGGAGGAGGGAGAGGGTGATGGAAGCCACCACCGATGTTGGCTGGTGGTCCTCGGACAGGGGGGAAGAGGAGGAGGAGGAGGAGGGAGACTGCAGCGTTGAGAGGGGCCTCTGATGCGGACAGTTTTAGACAAGACACAGGCGCGGAAGAGCGGCCGAAAGGGGGGTACTTTGGGGTGTTGCGGGGGTGGGTGGGCGGGTGGGTGGGTGGGTCGAGGCGCCGTTGTTGGCCGGCCATTAGCAGGGATGACGTGCGGATGTTGCGTTTGTACGGCATGTCTCCGCGTAAGGAACTAGTCAAAGGAGGGGGCGAATGCATTTCCCCAGTTCCTGGTGGTGTACGGCACCCACGTGGTCATGAGGATGCGGGGGTGATGTAACGGCGACTAACGGACAACGAATATCAAAGCACCTGCCCACCTGCCTACCTACGACCTACTGATAAAGGGCATCTGCGGGACTGTACAACATAAACAGTTAGTATGCAGCAAGGCGGTATCTTGTTGTGCCTTAAGACGGTCAGTCCCCTTGAGGCCCCGAGGCGGCTGTGAGGGTCACGAATCGGCCGACACATTACCGGCACTGATCGAAATTGAACAAACGAGCAATTTACTGGTTTGATGGGGCGCTGGGGGATCTCTGCACGGCGTTTTCTGGGACGATTTAGATACATTGTTCCTGATTTTTTACTATAGATATAGATCTTGCCGGGGAAAATACAAAAATAGGTTGGGATTTAACCCAACAGTTGGTCTTGCTGGAGGCATGGAAGTTTAGTGATTCTGACAGGGGGGAGCACAACTCCCGGCACAACATTACTGCGGGGCAAAAGCATTGTTCATTGATATCTACATGTCCTCGCCTTCGCTTTACACCAAATCGACTAGTTTGGGAGGTTTTAGATATTCCCGTGGCATCAATAACAGGTAAGATAGGGTCGGTTTGAAAAGCTGCTCGCTGATCACTGTCCAATGCTGCTGCAGTACTGCATGTCCGTGCAGGGGCGGGCAGTCCCCCGGTGAAGGACGGCAGGGGGGTAGAGTACGTTAAAATGTTAAGCATCCGTTGGTAAAACAATGCACAGTACTTTGCTTGGAGATGCATACGCACCCTCTGTCTTCTCCAACGCGCATTCCAGAGGCCATTGGTCGTCTGGGAAGCTGGGGCTGAACTCCACCGGTCAGGTGGTGGTGGATGCACTGAGTGCCGAGCTTACACGAGTTGTTGCAAGAGCCTGCGGTAGGAGGCGCGCACGACCACGCACTCGTGAACATGGTGACTGGCACCCCCTGGTGGACGAGTGGATGTGCGGAAGGTCGCTGTGCACAAAGCATGGATCCGGGCGGAAGGTTTGCTCAACGACCAGACGGCAAAATCGGGGTTTAATCGCTGCGCAGGAAGAGATATCCGTAGAGTAGTCCGGCTGCCCAGAGCAGCAGTTGAAGGCGTCCTGCGCGCTTCCTAAGCTCCAGCCACACCCACTCTACAAGTTCGTGCACACCGACACACCTGCGGCCTGGCGTGCGGCGGCATGCCGTATCTGGCTCCTACCGCTGCCAGGTGTTGCAGTTGTAAACTGGCCTTGTGCGAGAGTAACTGCGATGCAGCATGTTGAACTCTTTTTGACAGCCACACACCAAGGGGGGGCAGACGACGTTTTTGCCCTCACTGGGGCTTGTAATGGAACTCGCGTAAAGTGCCAACTGCTTTTGCGGCCATGAAAACAATGCGGTGGTGTAATCCGCACACGCAGCAGGGGGGGTGGGTGGGGGTGGTGGTGGTGATGGGCGGCTTCTATGGCCGCAACGGACCATTCTATGTCATATGCGATTGCGATTTTTGACAAAATCTCTTATATATACGATTAGGATGCGATGTAGTTTTCCGCGGGGGAAATGACCGTGATACGTGCCGGACAGAGTGGGCATAGTTTGCGAAGAGGATCTCTGTCCAGCAATCTCCTTCCCACGGTTCCTACCTCTTTCCTGGCGACATAGCACAAACCTTTGTTCAATGTTTGATGCCAAATTGAAGCGATATATAAAAAGGACGGAGAGTTAACTCCTAGCCGTGAGGTTGAAATCCCTATTTAAGTCAGTCAGTCAGGGTCGTCAAGCTCAAATCCGAACGGACTCCCGTCTTCCAGTGAACCCTCAGACTGTGTTACAGGCACTTGGTTGTTGTTCAAGGGGTTGAGCTTGACGGTGGCTGTGTTTCGTAGGTCGCGGTAGTGTGTTCTAACCCGGGGCTCCCTGGGTGCGTCCCCCCTCCCCTGCCTTAAGTCGCTGGCGGTGATCTGCTGTAGGCTTGGAATAGGCGGCCCTCGGTACCTGCGCCTGCCCGGCTTCCGTTGGGAGTCTGCCTACGTTTCGGCTAGCGTTGAGGGTTGGCTCCTTGTCCCTCTTCCCGTCCTTGCACTCTGGCCGAGCGTCCGGGTATACGCTGTGCTATTTCTTTTGTTTGAAGGCATGGAGATTTGTGGACTTTTGGTACTTGCAAATGCACGGCTCCCTGCTTTCTGCTTGGAGTATATGCCCTGGGGTAGTTTTTTTTTGTAAACTGCTGTAACTGTAGCATGCGTGGCTAGTGATGTGGGTTGGTTCCCTGCCCCCTTGTAATGATTGCATCCTAAAAGGCCTTCATATTTTATCCCTATGCTGTAGGAGCTAAGCGGTTGCAAAGTTGATAGGAGTGGAGTTTTTCATTCCGGACGTGTTTCGGAGCCAAAATCGCCCTGCACGGTGGCGCGACAGCTGTGAATCTCGCATCCGCCCACACAGGGAACCGCCGCAACATATTTCTCACTCATACCTTCCGTCAGCAAGGAGTATCCTCGTTTCCTCTAATCTTGGCGCCAATTTAGACGCAAAGGACGCAAGTCTCGGTGGTGGAGCTTCACCTCGCACGCAACGCGAACTGCTTGCCCGCACCGCTTGTCCGAGTCAGAACCCTTTATACCCTCAATAATGAGGAAATTCCCCCTTCCGTAAGCTGTCAGCCTCCTAACATTCGGATGCCTATCCGGATGTAATCGCCATTTTTCTCCGTATGCAATTCATCGATTTGCGTTGTTCACGGAGCGCTCGCCAGCGCTTATGGCTTTGCGGTACCAGCAGCAGGAGAGGCAACAGCAGCGCTACAAACGGTGCCGCGAAGATGAGCACCAGCTGGAGGAGGACACGAGCAAACGGCGCGACCACTTTCAGGCGGCTGACCCAGATGCTGCTGCTGAGCCTGAGACCTCGGTCAGTCTGGCTTCTGTGAGCAAGACTGTCTTAGCGCCTTACAAGGTGAGGTGCGCTAGTTTCTTGTAACCTATTGATTCCTTCTGTGTAAAAGGCCACGGTTGACCTGCTGGTGAGCTGCGAAGCGAATTCCGAGCTTTCGGACCTTGGCGCAGCACTGCGAAGCTCTTGAGGGTTAGCTGCGATTTGTGTTTGCGAATTTCTTGATTGATCCACCCTAGGTGCCGCATCTTCCCTAACCTTTCCAGCATCAAAAGTTGTTCCGGCGCGAAAGAAGCTCTGCGCAACGGCACCGTATCTGCAAGCCTAGTCCAGCAGGGCGTTGGCACCCAAACCCACATCCCGGTTAGGCAAAATAGTATATCAATAATGGGTCTTCTTGTCCTGCGCTTAAAAAAGGTTGCCTTGCAGTAGCATTTTTACTAACAAGCAAGGATTGGACAGTCCAAAACAAGTCCCTGAGAGAGGCGCGCCCTGTCCAGCAGCAGCACGTGCACAAGTGAGCTCCATCCGCGTTTCCTTGGGCTTCACTTCAGCTGATCGGTGTGCTGCCGCCTGCAGTGCCCAGTTCCAGGCTACAGCGGTCCGTTGGGCTGCCGAGGCACGTTGGGCGTGAAACGCAAGATGCAAGACCTGTACTACAGATATCAGCCGTCCCGCTCGTACGGCAACTGCGACGATGCTGACGACGGTGATGATGATGGTGACGATGATGAACGGCGCCGCCAGCTGGCCCAGTACGGCGAGGCTAGCGAGGCCACGACTGTTGCTGGTGGCTGCAGCCGAGGACCGCCGACGTTGTTCCGACCCATAGAGTTTGAAGAGGGCGACGACGATGGCGACCGTACGGCAGCAAGCCCGATGGCCGCGACGGCGACATCCACTCGTAGGCCAGCACCGGCGGCTGCAGTAGCGCCGCCGCCGCCGCCCCGCAATCGCGGCCCGCAAATCATTCCGCAGCTCCGACGGAGCAGCAGTAAGGTCGTACGGGTCGGGGGCCTGGCGGAGGCAGCCGCCGCGTTGGCGACTGGCGGCGGTGCAGACGCGGTTCCCGAGGAGGACGAGGGATTCAAACCGACCGGCGTCGGCAGCGCCGGAGGTGGCGTCGGCGTCGGCGTCGGCAGTAATGCCGGCGGCACCGTTGCAGTACCTTCCATTGCTGCGAAAGTGGCCGCCGCGGCATCAGCATCAGCGGCGGCGGCGGCGGCGAGGGTATCGATGGATGCCTTACGCGCCGGCGCGGTGACGGAGCTTCTGATATCTCGTCCGAAATTGGTTCCGCCGGTCGCCACAGCGATTGCACCGCCGCCACTGCCGGCTCCTCTGCTAGTCAACACACCGCCGCCGCTGACGTCAGAGACCGGCGAGCCGCTGACTACGGGTCTACGGGAAATGGAAGACTTCCTGTCCAGCCTGACGGCGGCGGCGGCGGTGCCGGTGCCGCCGCCGCCGCCGCCCCCGCTGCCGCAGCTAGCAACAGGACCAACGGCTCCAACACAAGACCTGCTGGGCAGCCGGCGCTCACTTCGCCAAGCCCGACTCCCACTGCGCTCACCTGATACGGCAGATGCCGCCGCCACCGCCGCAGTCGTCGATGTGACCATGGGGCTTCGGCAACATGGCGGCGCAGCGGTCGACGGCGCGGCGGTGGAGGCCGCCGGGGCCGCCGTCGGCAGCATGGACACAGGTACCCACTTCCGGCCGCCGTCACCGGTGCAGCCGTCGTCGCCACCTCCAAGATTTGTGCTGGCGGCCTCGCCAGCGGCGGCGTCACCCTTTCCCGGTCCCGCAGGCGACCGCAGCGCGACCACGCCGCTGGCGGAGACTGCGGAGACATTGGGCTTTTGTAGCCCGGCGGCGGCGGCGGCGGCGTTGCGGCGGCCATTGACCTTTGATGCCCGCGTGGGTTTGTCTGGGCTGCCGTCCCCGTCGCCGTCGGCAGCCGAGTCACTGCGTCATGCCGACGGCGACGGCGGGCCCCGATCAGACGATGGCGGGAGTCAGGCGTCAGCGGCGTCCTGGCCAGTGGCAACGGAGCCGCCCGGGGATCCGCCGACGGATGCCGTACAGCCTTTAAACGCTGCCGCCGCGGCGGGTGCAGCCACGGAGGATCATGACACAACCGAACAGATCACAGGTTGTGGCGGCAGCGATGACGTACCTGCCGCCAGGAGTGCGCCGCCGCCGCCTGGCTCGCCGATAAGGATGGTGTGTGAGGACGCGCAGGGTGCTACCAAACGCGCTCTGGATAAGCCTTCGGAGCAGAAACATGAACATGTGACCATGTCCCGGTCCCCGTCTCGGTCCAAAGGTTCTATCGCAGATGAAGGTCATAGTGGCGGAAGCGACGGGAAGAGCGGCGGCGGCGGCGGTGACAGTCGTACTGTTGCTCCTGCCGCTGTCGTTGCGGATGATGATGCCGCTGCAGACGCATATGGACAAGAGGTTCCTTTCGGGAGCGGCGGTGACGGGGAGGATGGAGGTGACGGGGACGCGGTGCGCAGTCGCAGTACGATTATGTTGGCAGGGCGACGAGTACTACAGCCGCCGTCACTCGGGATGGAGGACAGGGGCGGCGGCGGTGGCGGCGGCGCTGCTGTCGCCTCCGTGGCGGTGATACGAGGCAGGCAGGATGGGTTGTTGTCCAGGCAAGATGACGCCGGCGGCGAAAGGTACGTCGGCGGCGGCGCCGCCGTCCCATGCACGGCCACGGATCAGCGCTTAATGTCCTCAATCGGGCGGGGGGTTGAAGGCGCCGGTGGCGGCAACGGCTGCACTGATGTGCCCGTGGCAGTGCCACCGCCGCCGCCGCCATCTAACACGCAGATTGCGGTTCAGTTCGGAACAGCGGCGGCCGAAGCGGCGGCGGCGGCGGCGGCGGCTGACGCGGCGGCGGCGGCGGCGGCGGCTGAAGTGGCGGCAGCGGCTGAAGTGGTGGCGGCGGGGGCTGAAGTGGCGGCGGCGGCGCTGACCCCGAGTGCTGACGGAGCTACCGCAGGTGATGCCGATGAGCAGCTTGTTGAGGCGACTCACGTACCACCAGCAGCAGCAGCAGTAGCAGCGGGAGAAGCAGCAGCGGCATTACCACCAGCACCACCGCCACCACCGCCAGCAGTAGCGGCTGAGTCCAGAGCCACTGGGCAAGAGACGGCGGAACATGACGACCTGGACACCGCTCCATCCGCTGACGAGGCCACCGCAGATCGCCATCATCAGCATCGTCGTCAATCGCAAGGTCCCGCTCCGGACAGCTCAGCGCTGCCACCAGCGGAGGCGGCGGCGGAGGCGCCATCGCTGGCGGTTGTGTCAGGCACCGCCGCAGCCGACGGCGGTGGAACGAGCCTTCTTGGCTTGCACGCTGCAGAGGTGCCAACGGCTGGGGTGGCCAACATTCGAAAATACGGCGAAAGTGGTCATGGGGGCGATGGGGGCGGGGACGAAAGTGACGGCGGCAGCGGTGCCGCTGCCGCCTCCACCGAGCGGGAGGTGGCCGCAGGGGCTGAGGAGCAGTTGGTTTCGGAGGTTGGCGATGGAAAGGCGGGCGACCCCCTGATGGCGACGTCGACGGCGGCGGCGGCGGTGACGGTGACGGTGTCAGCGGAGCCGCCAGCATCGGCGGCGGAGGCGGCGCTATCGGCGGAGGCTCAATTAGAAGCGGCGGTTATGGCCGCGCTTTCCGCTGTTTAGTCAGTTGGGGGCGGTTATGGTTTTCGGTTGCCTTGTCGGTTGGAGGTGGGTTGGAGGCCTGGGGTCTCCATATCTCCTATTAGGTCCTCGCAGCGACTAAGCGGCCCTAGTGGCGCCGTCCCGCCGTTCCGCCGCAGGTGGCAGCTCCCGGGAGTGTGTGGGCCGCTACATGACCGCTCGTGCGCGTAGGTGTCCGCATCGCGTTGTCGCTTGCGAGAACAAGTGGAAAAACAAGAGAACGTGTGTATGCATGTTTGTTTGTATGTGTTTATGTATGTGTTTAAGTAAGTACGTATGTGTGTGCACATGTGTCCCCACACGGGCAGGCGGGTGGGTTGCTGTCTGCAGCCGCCGGTGCGCTGTTGCAGCGGTCTCGGGATACAGTCCTCAGCCCGTCGGGCTGTAGATATGTGTGTGTGAGAGAGAGCTGGTCAGCGGTAGCAGTAGCAGTAGCAGGATGTAGCAGTAGCAGGATGTAGCGGTAGCAGGATGAGTGGGCACGACGGCAAGATGTAACAGTAGCTCATGTAGCTCATTCGCCTGGGCCGCCCTGCGAGCCCAAAGCCGTTGGTTCTGCAGTGTTCCGCACACAGCAGTACGAGGACGACTGACACTGCAGAGATGAGCGTATGAGCAAACGTCCTTAGGCCGTGAGAGTGGTGGAATAGCGTCCTGAGAGATGCTCAGGCTTGCCGCTTTGGTAGCTTGTTCGGTTGGTTAGTTGTATTCTGGTACGGTTGCATTCTGGTACGACACCAATTGCTATATCACTACTTCAGAACGTACCGATCGGCAGATGCAGATACCGTGATATGCCCTACAGTATACAGCACGAGGTCAGGATCGGCCGTAATTTGCTCTTTTAGTTCTGGAGGCTTAGGATCCCCCCGCCCTTTTTATCTCTCTCTCCCCCTCTCCCTCTTATAACGATATGAGTAAAGAGGTTTGTTCACTTCCCCCTAATTTTCCTTAGGACGTACCTAGCTAGCGTGATGACGGATGGAATGAAACCTAAAGCTGACGAGACTGTAATCCTTCTTTTTAAACAAATACGTGGCCACGAAGCCAGAATGGTGGTAATGCTTAACATACACAGATCGGCGAGAGACTGCGGGAGGAAAGGAACCATGGGTCGTTTTAAGAAACGTGCAAGCAAACAGGGCCGGCAAATCCTGGATCGTTCTTTCAGGCTTTGTTTTCCAAAGAAAATATTTTTCTTCAGGCGTCTTACAATAAATTTCCACGGTCCTATTATTGGCGGCAGTCATATTGTCAGCATGCATGATCAAAGCCTCAGATAATTCGCTTCCAGCTTAGTCTCCTATCAGTCGAAGGCCACTACAAACCTAAGATTGAATTACATTGTTACAGGGGATATCTTGGCAAAGTCCACTGACCGTGAGCAGGTGGTGATGTTCCGCCATGCGTGCATGGAGCAGCATTGCATCGCATCGAAAGCTTGACTTGGCCGCGAAACCCAATTTCTGCCCCTTAGGGCTTACTACTTACTGCAGTCCCTCTTGGTGTCGTTTCGGTGCTAATTTGTGCGCTCCAGATGTTTTGGCGTGACATCTCGTTGCTGACTTATACCTGCTGACTTTTAACTCACCATTACTGCTCGTGCCAGTGGATTTTCCTCGCAGCCCTACACAGCCAGCCTCGCGTGGTCCCGGAATCTTTACCATTATCCTCCTGATGCTGCCTCTAGCATCAGTCTTCGGCATGCTAGACTGTTCTTCGCTGTGAGCGCTCTGCGAGATTCAGAGACACCGCTGGCGAGCCCTGTGAGCGGTGCACCGCTGGCGAGCCTCAGCACCGCTGGCGAGCCTCAGCACCGCTGGCGAGCCTCAGCACCGCTGGCGAGCCCTGTGAGCGGTGCACTTTCTCCATCACTATCGCTGTGCTGCTGCTGCTTTAAAGCTGCTTTCAGCTGCTTTTGTCTAGCTGCCTATGAAGCGCGCCAGCGCGGTGCCAGCAGCCACTGCTCCTCTCACGAAGCGGCGAGGGTCAAGCTCCAGCGACGAGGACGGCCTTCACCTTTGCACCGACCTCGAAGACGACGTTTTAGACCAACAGCAAAAGGCTCTTCGAACATCACCAGAGACTTCAGTTTCACAGGAGCATAATAATGAAAATGAGTCGCCTCAGCAACAACAGCAGCAGAAACAGAAAAAGCAAGGAGGAGCGCATGGTTCCAATTCGGTGGTTCGCGGCGCGCGACAGCACCAGCAGCAGCACCAGCACCTGCACCACCAACACGCCTCCAAGGCCGCTGCCGCCAACAAATCTCAAACAGGCGCTGTCGGCAGCACCACCGACACCCATCAGAACTGTGGTCGCAGCAGCAGCGGCAGCGGCAGCAGGCGAGCGGGGTCCTGTCTTGGCCTCATGGGTCGCCGGCCGTTGGGGCTGTTGTTATCGCCCTCACCCCCCGCCGGTGGGGCGCATGCGGGTCACCAAGGCGGGGAGCGGGGAGCGCCCCTCAACACCAAGCCGCAGCCGTACAAGGTGTGTTTCTGTATGTGTATCTGTGTGTGTATGTGTGTGTGTGTGATTAAACGAGCTGAGTGTGCATGAGTATCTTTCTGTGATTTATCGTACAATGATTGTGTGTGTGTCAACAAGTCAAGAACGTTCCATATTTTGAAAACGCCCGTTTGGTGGTTGGTGGTTGGTGGTTGGTTGGTTGGAGCTCTCCTGCGATGTGGGTCGGTCCGTGTGTAAAGGTGGGATGGCCGGGAGGGGGTGGACTGTTTATGAATTGGGATCGGGTTATAATCCCGCGCGTGGGCACCTCATTTGGGTCGGTGGGTCGGTGGGTCGGTGGGTCGGTGGGTCGGTGGGTCGGTGGGTCGGTGGGTTTCCTTGCCGAGGCGAACAGCGTTGAGCATCTGTCCGTGTCACCGCGTCAGCGGCCCATTACTAATGTTAACCGCTCGCAGTTGCTGCGTACATCTACATGCCACATAATGCCCAACTACCTAACAGCTACCTGGCAAACAAGTTTACACCACGTAGCAGGGGAAGCCACCTTCACAGCGCAGGCCCCTACCTCGCGGAGTAGCCCCCACATGCCCCCACGTCCCTTGTAGCGTTATGCAGCCGTACGAATGAGGGTATGACGCCTCCTGGGTTTCGATCCCCAACCCTTAACTTCCCAACCACCCAACACCTCTCACCCCCAACTCCCCAACCAACCAACTCCCCCCCCAAGTGCCCAGTTCCCAACTACCGAGGGCAGCTGGGGGCGCGAGGCACTCTGGGCATGAAGCGAGCTCCCCTGGCGCCGCTGCAGCAGCTGATGGGGCAGCTGAAGACGGTCATATCACCGGAGGTAAGAGGGGGGAGGTAAGAGGGGGGAGGTAAGAGGGGGAGGTAAGAGGGGGAG